CTCCTCAGCTGACATGCTGATCATGACCAGGAAGAAAGAGACAATGAGAGAGTAACATTATTAAAACCCAAACACTTTTGGGCAATGATAATGCCAACAGAGGAAGAGATACATGAGCATATTAAAAGTGCAATATGAGACAGCTATAAATGGGACCAACAAGTGGCCCCATCACTCAACCATAAATGAGGAATGACAAAGGAAGAGGAGATGATCCACTATGATGAATGGATCTACATTTCTAGGGATCAGGCTCTTTATGGAGAAATCATCACCACACACTATGATCATGCTATAGCTGGACACTCTGAGATTGCCAAGACTAAAGAGCTTATACTCCAAGAATACTGATGGCCCAAAATAGGCCAGGACATCAAGTGATACATTAGAGCATGCAAAACTTGTCAAAGAGGCAAGGCTTCTACTCAATTATGACTGGCACCACTCCATCTGAATGAGATCCCATCAATGCCATGGATCCACATCTCAGTAGACATGATTATTGGCCTTCCAGACTGTAATAGCTATAATGCCATCATTGTCATAGTTGATTGATTCTCTAAGGTGATTATCCTGATTGCCTGCTCTATAGAATTAACCTCTGAGGGATGGGCCAAGATCCTACAAGACAAAGTATATACCAAGTATAGCATGCCTCAGATCATCATCTCTGATTATGGCCCACAATTCATCTCAAAACTTCTTGATGATCTTTATCACCTACTGAACATCAAGCAAAATGTGTCTATCATCTATCATCTCCAGACAGATGGACTGACCAAATAAGCAAATCAAGAGATGGAAAAGTATCTCCATCTCTTTATTAACTATCAACAAGATGATTGGGTAGAGTGGCTAGCCTTAGCTGCATTTCAGCATAATAACTGGGTACACTCAGCAACTGGCAAGATTCCATTCTTTATCAATTTTGGCTGACACCTCAATGTCACCAAAACTAAATAAACATACACTACAACACCTGCCTTGATTGACTTCAGCACAACAATGTCAAAAATCCATGATGAAACAAAGACAGCTCTTGAAAAGGCCACTTTTACCATAAAAAAACAATATGACAAAAACCATCACTCAGCTCACAAATACAACATTCATGACAAAGTCTGGCTGGACACAATGAACCTTCATTTTCCCTATCTAAAACAAAAACTCACAGACAAATAGACTGACCCTTTTCTCATACTGCCCAAATTGGAGCCTTTTCTTACAAACTGAAATTGCCACCTACCTGAAAAATCCACAATATCATGAATGAAATGCTATTGACACTATATATTACACTAGCCTTCCCCAACCAAGAATGATCTCTGCCACTGCCATCTGACTTGATCAATGACAAAGAGCATTATGAAATTGATCAAGTTTTAAACCATAAACTTCAGAAAATAAAGGCTAAAGGTGATGGTATAACAACAATGGTCGATTATCTTGTCAGTTGGAAAGGCTACAGACCTGAATCAAACCAATAGATAAACAAAAAACATATGAATGCCAACAATGCCATATAGGACTACAAATTATTCTTAAATTAAGCCATCAGGATAATGGTCTTAAAGCAGAGGTAATATTATGATTTTTCCCATTTTTTTTATCTTTTCTACAATTTAACCCCTATTTATGCTTAGTCAGAGCATCTATATAAGCACTTAGAACTATGAGGTAAAGCTTAGTCATCACAACTAGACCAAGTCAGTCATTGTCTTTTGATGCAACAGCATTGCCTGATAATGCACAATCAGTCTTTTATATACAGTAGTGATGCCCAAGGATAATGAGCACAAAGGACATGATGACACACAATAGATAACAGTATTAATAGTCATAGCTTATACAGTATTTAAGTAGGCTTGCTCTCACTGAGAATCTCCAGCTTCAAGCTAAAGTTTATCTTCATACCATTTTATACTCAAGTCAGTCTTAAGGCCTTGTAACACACCGATCAGAATATGCATCAGTGGATTCAGTTGATCATCCAAAGTGTGAGGTGACTTCTGTTTATCACATGTTTTTATTCACATGATGCTTGGATCTAACAACTTGACAACTAGACACTATAGTGTCACAATGAAGAAGAATATAATAAATGTAGGAATTATATTTATCTTTATAAATGCATATATAAGTAGGATAACTCTTGCTATAGTATTCTAGCTTTAAGCTAAATTTTCATCTATACCACTTTTTTCTTTCTGAGTCTAATCTGTGATATAGTCTTGACACATATAATCATATCATATATAAAGTGGATTCTAGCATTACTGTATGAATAAAATACAGCACTAGTTTATCATGTGTTTTGATTATATGCTAAGCAGATCTAATATCTTAGTTTTTACATTGATATAGATACTATATACTAATCTGGATTTTGCTATTGTGATAAGAATAACTTTACTTGGATGGTATATAAGATTATAAAACTTTTTCATGATTATAAAGTGTTCAGAGGATATAGTGATAGAGGTGTTAGATATGGATTTGGATGTTATAAAGGCAGTTATATGATATAGGCCTTTGGTCACTAGTATTATGCCAATTGTTTTATATTTGGATTGTGAGCTTTGTATTATGCAATAGTTATTCTTGATGATAAGCAAGTATTCACTACAATATAGACAGCTGACTGATATGAGTATGAATGCTATGCTAGATAAGTAGTAGGCATTATAAAGAGTAATAAGCATTGGCTTTTGGTCTGATCCTATTGGTAACTGAATAGAGTAATCTCCTTTACCTATTATGCTGAATGTTTGGCCATCTGCTACTTTGATAGGAATAGGCTTGGTGGCTGTGAAGTTGCTGAAATGTTTACAGTAGTCAGTGAAATGGTTGCTTGCACCAGTGTCAATAATTTTGGAGGCTGTGTCATTGCTTAGAGTTGTAAGAGCTTGTGCATCTGTTTGATAGTCAGATGTGCACTTGAGGGCTGGAGCTTTGACATCTAAAATGGCTGAGAATCTATAGTTTATAAGTGTTTCATCATCTGCCTTCTCTACCATATTGGCTTAGACTGTCTTTTTAGTCTTATCCCATGGTGCTTGGCCTGCTTTATCTTTTCCCTCTCTATACCAGTCTCTCTTTATGTGGTTGTTATGGCTGCAGTTGTTGCAGTGCAGGCTATCATTGCTCTCTTTTGTCTCTCTTTTTCCAGTAGCCTTTCTTTTACTCTTTCTTTTCTCTTTATTGTTGCTCAGAAATAGTGCCAAGTTCTGTATAGACTCATTAATGTTTTTCTCCACCTGCCTTTGATTGGCAGTCTCTTGGATCTACTGAATCAGAAGGCTGCTTGATACAGGTTTGTCAATCATCTGTGAGACAATGTCAAGTATTTTGAGTGTGAATCTGTAACTTATCAGAAGTGATGTTCAAATGTAGATAGCATAAGAGTCATCACTAATAGACTTCTCCATTGCAGCAAGTTCTTCTCTCATCCTGGACATATTGATAAGATGGATTCAAATATCTCCATTATCAAGACAACATTGATTTTGAAGCTTGTTGAGTAGGTTCTCCTGTGTCAAAATACCTTTTTTTTTAAAGATGAAAGTGAGCTTCTTCCATATTTCAGCAGAGAGTTTACTTTTAATCTGCATGAAGGTTGAAGTGCTGATTGTTTCATACATCATCTCACAGACCTGTGCCTTCTTCTAGTCATATACATTCTGAAGAGTCAGTTGCTTTTCAACTTTATCTTCAGATAAGAGTATAAAGTTTTCTAGTAAGTAATAGTCTCCATTTGTCTCTATCATCTCTGTGAGCTTCTTAGCAGTTCCATATAAGATTCATCTAAGCTCTTTTAAGATAGCCATATTTAGAATTCATTCCTTATATAAGATGCAGTTTGTGCTATTATCTTTTAGATAAGGCAGATTAAGGAGTTTGACAGTAGAGATTGATGAAGATATATTATCAGAGTCTGTAACCTGTTGAGTAGTGGACTGAAGAACCTGAGAGGACATGACTGTGAGATTTCACAGCAATATGAGTGGAGCAAGAGTTGGCTTGAAATAATAAAATAGGTGTATATCTTAGTAGACAGTAAGTTGCTATAGTTGGTATGTATAGTATCTGAAACAACAAAATAGATATATCTACTGTTAATTAGTAAGATATAGTATAAGTAGGCATAAAATACTCACATCTTAGCAGATAGTAAGTTGCTAAAATATGTAGCTGTGTAAATAGTGAAAACTATAGAAACTGATAACTAATTTAGAGTCTATACAACTGTATCTGCAGTCATGGCTTGTACTCTCAATATGCTTCTCCAGGCTTGTCTCAGATAGAGATTGATGAGTATCAAAAAAAGTGAGCTGATAAATTCAAAGCCAATGCAGAACAATGCCAAGACACTAGAGCACATGTGGTTAAAGAAGCAGCCTGGATAACTCTCTGCTTAAAGCTTTAATTTCTTTATCAAACACCAACCACAAATAAATCTTAGAGCTTCATTGCAGCTATACTTGCTGGCATTCTGGGGCTTGATAACACTGTCTCACTGAAGACTGCTTTTATTTTTATAATGGTCCTCACTCAATCTCCTCATCTGAAATCTATCATTGCCACTGGAATCTCAGATCCTCATCTTGCTAAGTTGTTTTGTCTCAGATAAATCTATGCTACTGAAAAGTCACTCAACAATCTCATTGTGGCTCTTCAGATCCAGTCTCTTGTGAAACCTATTGCTCAGTCATTCTAGTGCCTCATCATTCAGGATTAATATATTGACTTTTCAAAACTTTTGCCTTAATAGACCAAGAGTGCAATGACAATGAGGAGGCAAAAGAGCTTATGATGGAATATGCCATTGTTAAGAAAGATGTTTCATCAGCTAAGAAGCTTATCAGGATATAATCTGACTGATGCAGAGTGTATAGTGTTTAAGCAAGAGGTGTTCAAGTTCAAGTTCTTTATTTACATCTTGAGACTGAACTCAAAGTTTATCAGGAATATGTAGTCAAAGTCTTCTGAACTGTACTACTATTGCCATTCATATTGATGAAGAGATTCAGTTACATTATGCTAAGTGTCCTTTCTGCAAGGATGTCTGGAGCAAACTACAAATTCCTATTCTCACTCAGATGTTTCACTCCTTGTCAATTCTTTCAAGCATGAGGTGATTGTCCTTTACTTCACTCTCTGCTGCTAGAAGAGCAACAGTTTTATGTGAGAATTGGAATCTAGGTTTCTACCAAGATCTGTGCCTCAATCATCATAAGTTTTGATTGCTTAGAGAATATTCTCTAGTTTCACTTAAACAAACTCTTTGTCTCTTCAGTCATTTGCAGTCCTTATAATGGATTTTGACCTCTTAATCTTAGTGAACAAAATGACTCTCTGTGACAAAACCAAAAATTATGCTATAGACTCTAAAAACATTGACAAAATATAGATGTTTTATGATTGTGAAGTTGTAGCTGATTATTTGTCACTACCTCTGTCAAAAAGGTTTATACTTTTATCAGAAATAAAAGTATCATCTATGTTCATCATCTGGTAGGATAAAAAACCTTATGTTGTAACAGATTATACTTTCTCTAGTTTAAATGCAGAAATCTCAGCTGGTGAGACAAAAGTGAAATATGATGATATGAATTCATTTGGCAAAGCTCTATGCAATGCCATAAAACAATATTCCAATACTGACTTCACTCTCTATTAAAGTGATATTGCTAAGGCTTTTTTGAATCTACCAGCATATTTTTTATGGCAGATTCATCAAGTGGTTCTTATTGACAGCTGATATAATATTGTTGCACAGCTAGTTTTTGGAAGCTGAGCTTCATTCAGAATCTGGTGCTTTGTTTCAACTTTATTGTGCTAGATTAGAATCCACCACCTGAGCATCACTGACATTTATGGTTATATAGATGATTTATTTAGCTGGAATTTTGCTAATTATTTAGTCTTTTATCAAGATCAGCTATAGTCAGCACAGCAAGTACAGCTTTTTATATTTTGAGAATATATCTCTTATTCTTTTAATGACTCAAAACAGATACATGATCAGTCTCTCAAAATTATTGGTTTCTAGATTGATGCCAAATCTGAAGTTGATTCTTTTCTTTTGACACTCAGGAGAGCATCTATTCTATAGAAATAGCAACATCTAGGTGAATATCAAAACTGGATGTTAAATGTTCTACTATGAGACTATCTAGCTCTCTCATCTCTATACAAAAAGATGGCCAGAAAGACTCACTCTTTCATGAAGATCTTTATCAATACTACTGTTAGAGAGAATCTTTCCTGGTTCTCATCTGTTCTTTCTGATTTCATGGGTGTTTGCTTTATTGACTCAACTCTCTGAATCAATTTAGAAGCTGACATGATAATCTAGACTGATGTCAGCTCAAAAAATGGATTATTGTTTATTTTTGCAGAGAATAGATTTGTATATCAGTTTCATCCACATTCACCCAAAATAATAATTGACATCTTCTTTCTTGAGCTTGTGGCCATTCTTTCAGCCATCTATTATGCAGTATGTCTGCTCAAACTGCCCCAATATCTTTTGCTTTTCATCAATAGCTTTAACTCTGTTACTGCATTTGATTTTCTATCTATATCAGAACTCCTACATAATAGACTCTTACTTAGAGTGGCAGATCTTATACTCAGATTGGAAATCAATATTCACATCTAACATATTGATGAAAAAGAAAATATTTGGACAGACATACTTTCTCATCTTTTTATTAATGAATATCATCATAACTTCTCTGCTGATCATGTTTTTATCTTTACTCCTCTAAGAGACTTATTGCCAGCATAATGGAAATAGTCTTTTCAGCTGCATTGAGTAAGCATGCTTCTCATATTGCTTATTCAGCTTCTTCTCTTTCTCTTCTTGATGAATGCACTCATTTTCTCTAAGCTTATATGATTGAGCTCAAAGTAGAAAAAAGATATACAATAGAATCATATGATTATATATGATTTTGCATCACCTATGCATTGCCACTTGAACTTATAGCACTTACTCTCAGCAGGTATATAGCTTATATATCTTAATTCATTGTATCTGGCTCCAAATACTTAACTGGAGCTCATCACTTTCTAAAAGATCTCTATTCTGACTTTGATGCAAATTAAAGACATTTTATAGTGCAAGCAACTATCTGTGGCTCAAAGAAAACAAGAGATGATGTCACTTCTCAGAAAATAACTCTTCAACTACTTCATTTAATCACTTTCTGTCTTCTTGCTAATATCTCAGATTCATATGATGATCTTCTCTTTGCTATTATCCTTCTCTGCTATTTTTATGAATGCTATTAATCAAGTGAGCTTATATAGAAAAATAATAAAAAACTTTAGGACTTCCATAAAATAATCAAACATTCCTCATTCATTCTCTAAAAAAATAACATACAATACTTATTAGATGTAGAATTGATGTGATATAAAGATGAACACATTCTCTTACTTATTTGATTTTCTTTTCTTTTTCTGTACAGCATATTATTCTGCATATCTCAGTTTTTAACCACAATGCTGAGATGTGAGTATCCTCTATATTTATCTCTATTTGATCATATTTACTTATTATCTATATAGTAATATTATGACATTTTATTCTAGCATCTATTTTTTTCTGAATTAGTTTTCTATTCACTATATCCATACATCTACCTTATCAACTCTAACAGATTATGGACTTCACTATCAGTATATTCATGACAACTGGAATAAAGCTAGTTAGCACAATGAAGCTTGCAGATAATAGATCAAACTAGATAACATTTGAAGAAAAGCTCACCAACAAATTTCTGAATAAAGGCCTTAGCTGGCATTTGCAAAGGACAGCTCACATACTCCTGCATCCTGTTGAGCACAAGAAAAAGTTCTATCAGTCCTCTGATATCATATTCTCACATCCACTCTCAGATAACAATCCAGAAAAGCTAAAGGAAAAAACAGAGAAATATAAGCAGAAAGAGGCAAATATGCATAATATTATTTATAATGCTATTTCTGACTCTACATTCAATGAGATCAAAGGCAAAGCAATAGTGCTCTCATCTGAAAGAAACTTATTGCCATTAATATGCTTTCAATGTATTTACACTTATAATTTTGCAAATTCTAAAAATATATTAAGTGTATTTTCAAGTCTATAATGTATGCAAAGGAACAGTGTGATTGCATATGAAAAAAACAGTATAACTGCATGCAAAGGCTGTTATAAGAAGCATGTGATAAAATGAGACTCAGCATTATATCTGGCTAAAGTAATAATTGGTAGAGTGTATGGCTTGGTAGCAGAGTAATATTAGTGGAGTCCTACTGCATGCAAAGTCTCAGTACTTGACATTGAATGCATGAATATCAGCATAGAGACATATACTAAAAATAGAAAGAACACAATCAGAATAATAATTAGAGCTAAAATATTACAATTTTTACCTTTAATCACAATCTGCTGACACTTAATAAGCTGATTCTTACCAATTCCAACTAAAAGCCTGACCTCATAAGAATGACAATGTCATGACAACACTAAAACTATGCCTTACTCATCAACACACAATAGGTGGCTGAAAACAATGAGACAACAGTCTTTATCTCATGCCTTTGTTATAATAAAAACTGTGACAAACCAGAAACTCACTATAGTAATAGTGCAGCAGAGTGACAATAACAAATAAAAGTAAGAGCACAGTCATTGTCACTCTGGACAATGAGTAGAAAATATGGAAATCAGACAATAGTCACCTGTAGAGCATAAGGCTCTTTAGACAGTATTTAAGGTAGTAAGTACACTCTGATGTACTCCAGTCTCAAGCTAAGGTTTAATACACCTACTATATTTCTTGACTATCTGGTGTGAATACCTCAATCACAATAGCAGACTATCTCTACCAGCCATGCCCTTTCATCCCTCTTCATAAAATTCTCATTGCTTATCTCATTATTCTTATCATACTCTGATACTGACAACAAACACAGAGCCAGAATCTAGAATCAGACTCTAGCAGAAGTAGTGCCAAGCATTTGTGAGTGTTTAGTAAAGCATAACAATTAGCCCAAGACTTCACATGCTTCAGTCTGACAGCACTTTGCTTAGGACTGGCATATGAAATTTGTGCTCAGAAATATTGTCACCACCTCTATCATAGGTGGTTGTCTGTTTATCACAGTAACTGAAATCATCAGATACTATATCATATAATTACCAAGAGAACAAAGAAGAAAAAAAGAATGAAAGAGTAGGAGAGCCAACAAAGAGTGGATTTCCTCTGTCACACCCTTCAACTGGCATCCTATTTACTTTCAAGTCAGAAGAGTATCATTGTCAGACCAGCAGCCCCAGAAATCACAGACACTAGCAGTATGGATTACATCATCTGATCTCTAGAATCTGGAAGCATACAAACTGGAGGAGAAGGAGTTGAACCTCTCCTCCTTTTGTTATCTGACTGGCCACCTCTAATAAAGGAGAGTCAGTATGAGGAGACAATAGTCATGAGGATCAATTTCCAACCAGAGATATAGCCACCCCTACTCCCAACTACTACTAGAGATATACACCAGGAGCCCTTTCTGAGCTTTACTATGAACAGATGGATGAGTCTAGTCTTGTAACCAGCACACTCTGAAGCCCCTTAATCTAAGAGCAGGACATCAGCTAGATTATTCTCAGGATTGATGCACACAGCCTTAGAGGGAGAGAGCTCCAGTCTACTGAATCTGAAATGGTGGATCCATATGAGCCAGAAAGAGAGTATGAATATATCTTCAACTGGCAAACATGCATAGCAGAAGAATCTGCCTGGACATTACCAGCAGCTCAGAGGAAGGCAGATGACAGACACCTGCTGGTTAGAAATGGATAAAGGGCTCCAGTACCTCATATTATCAGAGCACACCAGAGACCTAGTGGACAGAGTATGAGTGGAAATTAGGATAGCAGAAGTAGTACAGAATGCCAAGAGATGCTGAAAGCCCCCCTTTCCATTCTCTTACTGAGCACCTAAATGACTGCCATTAGTAGAAAGCAATTTGAGTAGCTGGAGAAGCTGAAATCCTTTCTGAAATACCCCTTGGCAGGTCTTGGCACTGCTAATCTGCCTATTTGCTGGAGCAAGATCCAAAGACACTGGACTACTAGCATTAGAAGCTCCAGCAGCATCTACAGCTGGCAAGAGAAAAGAAAAAGAGGAACTGGCAATGCTATTCCCTCTATCACCAGAAGAACCATCTGACCACTCATAATATGACCAAAGACTGAGATCCTTGCTAAGATCCAAAAAGCCTGTTCTACCACTGATGCCACTGCCACCACCACCTGACACTCTGCCTCTGTGGAAATCAGACACCATGAAGCTCTGGAGAAATCTGAAACCAATTATTGTCTGAGAATCCACTGTACTGCAATATAGATTCATGAGCACCAAATTTCAGTTTTCTCAGCTCTAGATCTGCCAGAGCATTAAAAGAGCTGAGAAGTGAGCATCATCCTGCCTCAAAAACAAGAAACCATTTCTCTCCACTATGGCTTAAGCAATAGAGCACTAATACAACCTGCTTAGGGATCTGCTGCATAATCAACAACCTGCAAGATAATGACAGATGACTTTCCACTGTCTGTCTTCTTTATGTCTGACAAGCAACCTTAGCACTTAGAAGCAAATGCATATCAGCTGAGGCATGCACATAAGAGATACTTTATCTGATCAGAGATAGATCAAGTATGGATAGCCTTATAAAGCTATTCAATAAGGCATCAGATACAGAAGGTGTAGCTGACTTGCTCATGGATAGCAGATTCATAGAGCAGATTGGTGGTACTCTGCTGGTCTGGGTTAGATGAAGATCAGAAAGGAGTGGTCTAGGCACCCATAGGAGCCACAGCTGATAAGAGAGCAGATCTTTAGAATCTCAGTATTTAAAGGATAACCTTGTAAATAGAATATAGACCAACTTTTATAGTGCAAAGCTAAGGAATAAAATTCTGCTAGTTTTTTACAAGCTAAAGCTATAAGCATATCTAAAATCCTTTGAGCCTGATATCATATAAGCAGACAGCTTGGAGCAATCCCTGTAATCTCTCTCTTCCTCTTCATGTTCCACTTGTGTCCTGCTTATTCACTCTCAAAAGCAGATGCCAGAGCTTGGTCTACCAATGAGCCAATTGCTCCAGGCATATTCTGTCAGATCTGCTCTGAACTGCTAGATTTTCCCCATGCAATTATAAAAGAACTTGCAAGAGCAGACACATTCTTCTTGCCCTAAAGAGTTTGCTAGCCTTACACTGCACTATTTAAAGAGGAAAGCCTAGATCTGAAGCACTTTTTCCAACAGAGTGAGGCATACTTTGAGATGTATAGTATCTATTTTCCCATGAGCTCTAGTAGGTTCAGTTCTCATTGAGTAATATTCTGCATCACTCAGTTTGAGGACACTATACAAGAATGATGGAGTCTACAGGAACAGTACTTCTATGATCCAATCACAGGATGATGAAGGTACTCTTTCTACCCATAATTCAAAGCCACCATATATTGATGATTCAAGCTAGATGCAGAACAGAAAGCCCATGCAGCCAAGTGGAGAGTCTTACAATAGGCCAACTTTTCTGATACTAAGAAGTTTTTTCAAGAATTCAAAGAATTAACATATCAAGCAGAAAAGATGCATGACCACAAAGCCATACTGGAACAAATTAAGAATGTGGTCTAATTCAATCTCTGTAATACCATTGCTCATAGAGATAATGATTTCTCCACTATCTATAATGAGTGGAAGAGAAGAATTTTGTGGATGGACTACAACTACTATATTAACACTCTTTGGCATGGGGAGGCAAAGCCACTACAATGAGAGAAAAGGCTGTCACTGATGGAACAGTCTCAAAAGAGTTGACTATAAGCAACAAGAGATCAGGACTGAAACTGTATATAGTAGCTAGGAGCAGCTGATAGATATCAATGCACTCTGAAAAGAGAGAAAGTGCTTTAATTGCAGAGAAAAAGGCCACCTGTCTCAGGTATGCCCAAAACCCTGCAAACCTCAGCCTCAAAGATCTGCTTCAAATATAGTGTTGAACAGTCAGACTTCTGCCTCATGAAATATTTCTAAAATGAAATTTTCAGATAATAAGTAGAAACAATTGAGTCAAATATACTAGGAAGAAATGGCTGGCTGAAAAAAAACAGAAAGAACTGGACTGGACTATTGCAGAAGAGAAGAGAAAAGAAGAAGCTGCATCTCAGGAGGATTTTGGTAAGTAGCCCCTTGATACATACACAGATAGGTTTCAGACACTTTTTTGAACA